TTTGGAAAAGGAACACAGGGAAAAGCAAAGAAATATAAAGCTAGCAGGGTTGGAATAGAAAGGGAAAGACAAGAGAGGTGGGATTTTTTAGACTTTTTTGTGGAAAATAGGGAACAAATGGATATGGTTGAGAATGATATAAATAGTTGAAGTTTTTAAGATATAAGCAAGAAAGACAGGGTTTCTATAGCAATGAGAAAACGATGGAGAAAGCAGGTTGCTTACCTGTAACTGTCAAACTGTCATTCTTTGAGTGGTCACCTGTGCATTCACACATGTGGGTGGTGCACCTACGCAGTGCCTGTATTCGGGAAGATTCTCTCAGCTAGGAACATTTTTTTGCAGAAACACTGCTCCCCCACCCCCTTGTATAAATGGATGCAGCCCCCTTCCTCTTGCCAATCCAGCTGGAGATCACCTGTTTACTCCCAACTGAAACTACAACATCAGATAAATTACATTATATCATCTGAACCCAGTCACCAACACCTAAGTAGGGCTAGTGGGTGGGTTGTGTGAATGCACAGATGACCACTCGAAGAACTACAGTTACAGGTAAGCAACCTGCCTTTCTTCATCATGATCTCTGTGCATCACACATATGAGTGAATAGCAAACTTCCCATGCCAAGGAGGTGGGAAGATATCGTCATTACAGAATGGCAGAGAGGACAGCACATCCAAATAAGCAGTCCCTTCTGGCCCTAGTGTCCAATCGGTAGTGTTGTATGAATGTACATGGAGTTGCCCATGTCACCACCTTGCATAGGTCCTGTATGGCAATGCCCATATGAAGAGCTGTTGAGGTAGCAACAGCCATAGTAGAATGTCCTTTTGGGATAACTGACAGTTCCAGATGTGTGAGCTGGTAAGCGAGTTTAATTGTTTCAACAATCCATTTAGCTAGGTGTTGTGACCTGATGGGTGTTCCCTTGTCATGACTGAAATATTTGACAAAGAGACGTTTAGTTTTTCTGAATTGCTCCATCCAAGACCTATACAAGGCAACTGCCCTTCTGACATCTAATGTGTGTAGTGATCTTTCAAGTGGGGTGGAAGAAGCAGGAAAATAAGCTGGTAGAACAATGTCCTGGTTTAAATGAAAGGAAGAGGCTACTTTGGGTAAGAAGGTTGGGTCCATCCATAAGACCACTTTTTCTTTATGAAAACTCAAGTAGGGTGGATCTACTCAGAATGTGCCTAGCTTGCTTGACCTCCGGGCTGAAGTGATAGCCACCAGGAAGGCCATTTTCCATGATAGCAGTCTCAAGTCTGTCACTGGAAGGAGTTCGAATGGTGCTTTGGTCAATGCCTGAAGAACCACTGATAAACCCCATGTCGGGACCAAGGGTCGAATTGTCAGGTTTAAGTTTTGTAGGCCTCATAGGAATCAACACATCAGTTGGTGCGAGAAGATGGAAGATCTTTCAATCTGTCCTCTATAGTAAGATGTACCATGTATACTTTGATTAATGCTGGTTTCAATCCCAAGTGTTGTAAGGACAGGAGGAATTGAAGAATGTTTTGAACTGTTGCATGTGCAGCTGTGAAGTTATGCTTTGTACTGAAGATCTTGAATCGTTTCCATTTGGAAGCAGATGATCGCCTGGTATTTGGACAAAGGGCCAGCTGAAGAATGGCCTTAATCTTGGGAGCTACGAGTAATGTGCAGTCCATGGGTTCTACTGGATCAACCATGCTGTCAGGTTAATGTTTGAAGGGTTTTGCCCTGTTCCCTCAAAATTAGATCCGATATTTTGGAAAGGTGCTAAAATGTCCCGTGTAACAGGTGTAAAAGTGTGTTGAACCAAGCCTGACGAGGCCACCATGGCCTCATTGTGTTTCAGTTTGGATATAACCTTGGTTAGCATTGGGATCTGGCAATGTGAAAGCAGCCTTCTCGGTATCGATGGCAGAATCTGAGTCAGAGTCATACAGCACATTAGAGGATGAGGAGCATACTGGCAAGCCATGTTCTGAAGGAAGGTTGGTTTCAGGGACTCTAGATGCGGATGGAACATCATCTGGTTCCTTCCTCTGTGTCTAGGGATGGGCGGATATTGGGGTCGAGACATATAGTCCTAACCATACCCTGAAGCATAGTAGGGTAGGGGGGAAGCATCATCCAGTAGGGATGGGGATCTGGCCTAGGAAATTCAGGTTGGAAGGTGCGTACAAAGTGCCTGGTTGAAGCAAGAGAGTCCTGACAGGAGTCCAAATGGGTACAGAGTCGGTGGACATTGAAATGGGGGTCCTGTAGCTGAATCTGATGGGGTCTGTACCAATGATTCAGAGGGTGCTCGAGACGGAATGGGTGAATCCCATATCTCTCCTTCAGAGATTGAAGTTGGGAGCATGGGCTGTACATGAGGGATCTTGATGGGCGGTGGAGACCTTGGGCTCAATTGGACCCGAGGGGATTGCTTGACAGACAAGAGGACCAAAGATTGATGTTCAGGGCTCTCTCTTGGTACAGATGCAGCTCTCTGTACTGATACCTCTGGGAGCCGAAGCAAGTCTGACAATCAGTGTTCAAAATGGGATTGTCGCTTTTTCTTCTTCTCTCATTTATCCTTGTCAGAGCACTTTCCTTATGAATCTCTTTGGACTCGAAATGCTTCCTTTTCTTCTTCTGTTTTTTTGGAGCCTCCAAAGTAGCAGAAGGGATCATTGAACCTGAGGTTTTTGGAGCTTCCTTGGGTCGGTTTGGAAGCCTGGGTTGAGGCATCTTCTTGGACAGTAGAGAGACTGGCTGATTTCGCTCTCCCAATTTTTTCTTGCCTGCTTGGTAAAAGCCTGGCAATGGGAGCACTTGTCCACCATATGGCCTTTGCCCAGGCAGAACAGACATAACAAATGGGTATCCGTGGAAGGCATTTTTGCCCCACACTGAGCACACTCTCAAAAACTGGCCTGCTGCGCCATCACTGAGTAAGAGAGAGAGAAGAAAATACGATAGGAAGGATATTGTAGGGAGAATGGGGAAGGATTAAGGGAGGAAAGGGATAAAAGGTATTGGAAACAGAAAATATGAAAAGGGTATCAAAAATGTAAAGCTTGAAGCTAAGGCTAAAGCTAGAAGGGTAATGAAAGTGAAAGAGACAACAAGAGAAACCTGAGGCACAGCAAACAGCGATCGAACGCAGACTGGCAAGAGAGTGGGGACTCTGCCCATTTATACAAAGGGGTGGGGGAGCAGAGTTCCTGCCAAAAATGTTACTACCTGAGAGAATTTTCCCAAATACAGGCGCAGCACCCATTTGTGTGATGCACAGAGATCACAACGAAGAACACTTAAAGTTGACAATGACAGATCAGCAATGAACTTTCTGAGGCACTGATGAAGACGGTAATAGAACTACTGAGGGAGCAGGTGGGGACTCCTCTCCTTTTGTACTGGAAGTTGGGGTGGGGGAAGGGTTATTACGAAAATGCCTTTAGCAAGTAAATATTCCTGACAACAGGCTCCATGCAGGTACAGAGCCCCATGTATATGATGCACAGAGACAATGAAAGAGGATGAAAAATAGCAACCTCAATCAAAACTGATGGAAAGGTATCTTTTTCTGCCACCCTCATTTCTAGCTCCTTGTACAGCCCTCCCCTTGATCAAAGTTCATTCACAACCCCGCCCAGCAGAAATCATGAAATCATAGTGATTCAACCAGGGTTGGGCAGTCTGCAACAACCATTCCACCTTCATCTAATGTCCTCATTAAACCCTGCCTAATAAGACTTGCTTCTCTTTTCCATGGGACATTCAGGTAAGACATCTCCATGCTGCTTTTTGCCTGTAATTGGGCATTTCCATCTCTGTCGAGGAAAAGCAGCAGCAGAAGGAAATGAATTGGGATTCCATTAATACAGCACCATGCAGGACTGATACTACAAAATCCCCAAAAAGAGAATGATTGTGAAGATGCTGGAAAAGATTACATTATTACACAATGTCTTACATATTGTATTAATCTAATTATTGCATTACAGTAATGTAACATCCCATCTTTTTTTCCTCTTGTGAAGCTTTTGGGTTTTACAGCTAAAGTAATCCCTTTTCAATGTGCTTATCATTACAAAATCCCACCATGTCTCAAATATGCAAGAACAGGACGTAGGCACAGCTGCCCTGTGAGGACAAATGGAAAGAACTGGGCATGCTTAGCTTGAAGAATGAGGAGAGATATGAAAGCACTTTTCAAATATTTGAAAGGCTGTCACATGAAGGATGGCTAGGATCTCTTCTCAATCATCTCAGAGTGCAGAATATAGAACAATGGGCTCAAGTTGCAGGAAGCCAGATTCCAGGAAAAACTTCCTAACTGTTAGAGCTGTATAGCAGTGGAACCAAAGGCCTAAGGAGGCCATGAGCTTTCCCTCACTGGAGGCATTCAAGATGCAGATGGATGGCCATCTGAAAGGTATGTTTTAACTTGGAGTCCTGCATTGAGCAGGGGGTTGGGCCTGATGGCCTAACTGACCCATTCCAACTCTTCACTGTTTTTATATTTTTTGTAAACTGCCAGGAGCACTTCAGCTATGGGTGGTACAGAAATGAGATTAATAATAATACTATCTTATGAAACCTAAATTAGACACAAGGAGCTTTCTTCAAACTGTCAACTGGGTTTTTAAAAAACCGCTGATGTTCACATTCATTACTTAGAAGAAATCTGGTAAAAAAGATATATGGTATAAGAATTTGGGAGTATAATGCTTGTTTAGCACCAAAAAGGAAGACTCCAGGGAACAGAAACATCTCCCAACCTTGTTTCTGTATAGAGAACAGCAAAAGATTGTTTTTCTTTGCTGTGCACCTCAGGAACCCTCAGGGTCTGGCAATTCCTTGAAATATTACACCTTTACCAAGTTCAAATATATGAATTGAAACTACGTATAATTAGATTTTGCTGTTTGACAGTGAATTACAATGGCTTCTCCTCATATACACTGCACTCAAACGCTCTGATTTTAGACATGGAAAAAAGCCCTTGTCTGACATACCTGAAAAACGGGTTTTTCAGATCGAGCAAGTTGCTGGACTTGGAGCCTGTCTGATCCACTTGAGCAACAATACTGATGTCATAACTCTGCCTGAAAGGTAGAGAGATTGTAAGATGACCAACAGTCTGATTAGGGCATTTATCTGTTTTATGACAGATAAAACATTGGAACATTTTCTGTGATTGAGATTCAAATGATCTTGCTGTATCTTGCTGGGTAGGTAACTAATATTCCCACTTCAGGAATGACCAACTAGACTAAGTCAGAAGTACCTAGAAAATATATTTCATCTTTCTCTGGTCTAACCTAGCACTCTATCCACTAGACCACCCTGGATCAAACAGAATTTGGCTGCTTTGAGGAATGTTCTTTTCATTTCAGTGAGATAATCCCTCCTATCTTACCTCTTGTTGGCAATGAGCAGGCATGTCCCTGAGAGGGTGTCACCAGCCTTAGCAAAAAGTGGAGACTGAAAGAGACACCTAACTTGGTACCAGTGGGTAAGAGGTTCTGTGGGAGCAGTCGAAAGCCAAACAGTCATTCTAACAGAGGAAGAGAATCAATAAGGTAATGTTCAGAAACAACAAAAAAATGTGGCTTCGCAAATCCATAGCCCACCCACTCATGTGTTTCTGCTGCCAACTGTCAGCCTTACCACTCAGTTGGATTCTGGCAGGAATTAGGTCTGACTTGTCTGCTTTAACTCTATAGAGCTATAAATGTCTGCTTTTCTCTTTAAGCCAATACAGTGATGCAATTCACTGGGCCACTTGGTTATTCTAGGGTTATTTGTGGGTTTGGTTTAACCCTCAAGTAACCAACAATGCCCAGGTTCACACAACACATCAAATTGTGATACACTTCTGCCATGACTTGCATATTCAAAATGGTGACCAGCACACATATCACAACATGGTGTGAGAACCTGATCACTGAGACACTTTAATGCAGTGATTATACACAAAGTCTGGAAGTGCAGTAAAGTCTTCTTTTTGGGCTTGCTTCCAGTACACCCCGCTTTTCTTCCAGGAAAATGGGAGTCAAGGAGGCCATTTCTAATCACTTTAAAGTGATAACCCAGCTTAATCAACCAGCTAAAACTTTAGTAGATCAGTTTGTGAAGCCAGCCTTAATTGGTGAGGCTAGGATTAAAGGCACACTTTTTGAGGCTATCTTGATTTGAGTAAGCTTCCATAACAGGAAGTATTTCAAAACTGAAAGTTCCCTTTCCTTCTAATCAATACAGCTAATTTTGCATAACAGTTGCTCATAACAACCATTCTTAAAGAAAAAGCAGGTTGCTTACCTGTAACTGATGTTCTTCGAGTGGCCATCTGTGCAGTCACACATATGGGTGCTGTGCCTGTGCAGTGCCTTTGGCCGGAAGATTGCAAGCTAACGGTTTTTGGCGGGAAAGCTCCACTCCCCCTCCCCCATAGCCTATAAAGAGCGGAGCGTCCGCCATTTGGTTCAGTCTTTGACGACCGAATGTACGCTCCCATGTGGAAAAAATTGTCACTGCTAGATAGGAAAAAGATCGGTACCATGAAAAAAAGGGAACCTTCGGTACCGACGAGTATGTCCACTCACCGACACCGAGCAGGGCCAGCAGGTGGCTTATGTGACTGAACAGATGGCCATTCGAAGAACATCAGTTACAGGTAAGCAACCTGCTTTTCTTCGTCGTGGCCTCTGTGCATCACACATATGGGTAGATGAACAAGCTTACCATAAAAGGAGGAGGGGAGGTGTCCTCAATGAAGAATAGATGAAAGAACGGCTCTGCCAAAGGAGCAATCTTGCTGAGTCTGAACATCTAGACGATAATGTCTGGCGAAAGTGCAAGGGTTCGCCCAAGTAGCAGCTCGGCATACATCATCAATCGGGACCCCCGATGCGAAGGCAGATGAGGTAGCAACAGCCCTAGTCGAATGGCTTTGAGGAGCTGTGGGTAATTCAATCTTAGCCAGTTGATAGGATAAAGTAATAGTATGGACTATCCAATTGGAAAGTCTCTGCGGAGTGACTGAAGCGCCTTGATCTCTGGTGGAATATTTAACGAATAGTCTATTTGAGTGTCGAATAGATTCAGTCCTCGATCTGCAAAAGGCTAAGCAGCACCAAATGTCAAGTGAGTGCAACGATCTTTCTAACAGAGTCGATGGTGACGGGAAAAAGGCAGGTAAGATAATATCCTGTCCCATATGAAAAGATGTGGCCACCTAGGAAGAAAAGATGGATCGAGGCGCAAGACAACCTTTTCTCTGTGAAAATTCAGGTAAGGAGGGTCTATGCAGAGAGCACAGAGCTCACTGGCCCTTCGGGCTGAAGTAACCGCAACAAGAAATGCTGTCTTCCATGAAACCAGACGTAAATCGACTGTTGCCAATGGTTCGAAAGGAGCTCTCGTAAGCACTTGCAGAACAACAGAGAGACTCCATGTAGGCATTACTGGCCTGATCGATGGATTAAGATTATGAAGTCCTTTAAGAAACCTCTTAACAGTAGGTTGAGAGAAGATGGTTGCTCCATCAACCAAGCCACGATGGTAGGCTATTGCTGCTGCATACACTTTAACTGAAGACAGTTTCAATCCGGAATGGTGTAGTTCTAATAGGAACTGAAGGATCTGATGTATCGATGATGTAAATGGGGAGAACGAACGAGACTCGGCAAAGGTAGAAAATCGTCTCCATTTAGCTACGTAGGACTTCCGTGTGGACGGCTTCAAAGCAGAATCAAGGATGTGTTGGATATTTGGATGAAAGGCTGTCGGATTCGACGGATCAATCCTTGAATCCGATGGTACAGAAGGAAGAAATGAAGAGGAAATGCCAAACCCACTGGATTCAATGGCAGGATTCGAACCACTTGAAGTTGTCGTCGATACTGATGGCGCAATGGTAGGGTTATTGGGTTATGAGGTACAGAAGCAGTGGTAGATGGAGGCATTCCCCGTGAGAGATGTCGAGCAGTGTCGCAAACCAAGCTTGGCGTGGCCACCAAGGAGTAATTAGTATCCCTGTGGCCCGATCGTATACTATCTTCGCTATCATTCTCATCATAAGAGGGATTGGAGGGAAGGTGTAAAAGTTCAGGTTGTTCCAGGGAATCATGACGGCATCCCCTAGCAATCCATCCCCAATTCCCGCTCTCGAACAGTAAGCATTGCACACCTTGTTCTGTTGGGTAGCGAACAAGTCCACGTCGGGAAACCCCCAGCGATGAAAGAGATGGTTGCGTGTCTGAGGATCTAGTTCCCATTCGTGAGAGATGAACATGTGCCTGCTGAGGAGGTCCTCTTGCACATTGTCCGTACCAGCCAGATGGACTGCCATCAGCGTAATGTCTCTTGGAATGCACCAGTCCCAAATTTTCATTGAAAGTCTGGCCAAAGTCGGGGACTTTGTTCCACCTTGTTTGTTCAGATAGAAGACGGTGGCTGTGTTGTCCAAAGTTATCTGAACGACCCGATGTTGGAGAACATCCTCGAAAGAACATAGGGCCTTGAATACTGCCAGCAGCTCCAGGAAGTTGGTATGATTCGTGGATTCTCAACGATTCCATGTGCCTTGGGTGTATAGGCCAGAGCATACTGCTCCCCATCCCAGAAGAGATGCATTGGTATTGAGGGTTATCAAAGGACATCAGGGCCTGAAGGGAACCCCAACAGTCAGATTGACTGGGACTGACCACCAGAGTAGAGAATGGAGCACTGAGGAAGGGATTCGAATCAATTTCGAGGGTGGGTCTCTCTGTGGGTGGAACATCTTGTTGAAGAGGAGTTGTAACGGACGGAGTCGAAGTCTGGTGTGTGGCACCACAGCAACCAAGGAAGCCATATGTCCCAGGATCCTCTGAATGGACTTTGCCAGGACCGTCCTGTCTTGTCGCATTCGATGGATGTGGCAAGCAATAGTCTGTTGTCTGTCCCGAGGAAGGAAGGCTTTTCCCAACATCGAATCCAGGCGGGCTGCAATTAAGGTAAGCGTCTGCGCCGGAAGAAGAGAAGATTTCTCGGTATTAATGCGTAGGCCCAGATCATCTAACAAGGCACAGGTTGTACAGATGGATGCGAGGAGTCCTTCTCTAGATTGGAAAACTAGCAGCCAATCATCAAGATACGGGTAAATTTGTATGCCTTGGAGGCATAGGAAAGCGCAGACAGGGGCCATACATTAGGTGAACACTCTTGGAGCAGTAGCCAGTCCAAAAGGTAAAACTGTAAATTCGTAGAAATGGGGTACAACAGCAAAACGAAGGAAATGCCTATAACTCGGGTGAATCGAAATGTGGAAATAGGCATCCTTCAAGTACAATGAGGCGAACCAATCCTCTTTCCTTAGCAGTGGCAAAATATTTTGAAGGGTGGCCATTCGAAACTTTTTTGTCACGATAAATTGATTCAGATTACGTAAGTCCAAATTCGGATGTCGACCACCATCCCGCTTTGGGACCGTAAAATATCTGGAGTAGAATCTGTGGACTCCATCAGGTGGGGTTACTTGACGAATTGCTCCTTTACGAAGAAGTTGTTGCAGTTCATCGAGCAGTACCGGCGAGCATGATGTAAACCGGATTGGACTCGATGGAGGAACAATGTTGAATTCTATCCGATAGCCGTGCTATATAATGGACAATACCCACCGATCAGATGTGAATGACTCCCAAATGGGGAGTCGGCTTCGCAGCCGGTCCCCAGATGAGAGGGGGGTGGGTATGAAAGGGATCAGAGGAATGGTTCGCCAGTCCCGTCGATGCTGTCTCCCATCGTCGAAACGGCGACGGCGACGGCTCTGCTGAGTGTTGCTGAGGCTGTGGACGGTGGTGCTGCTGTTGCTGCTGCCGGTGCTGGGGCTGCTGTCTAGGCTGGTAGGACCGCCTATAAGATGGACGAGTCCATGACCACTTATGCCTGGTCTGGGTCTGTAGCTCCATCCTGTGTGCCGTCATGCGGGATTCATGTAGTTTCTTTAACTTGTGGTCGGTGCGCGAGTGGAAAAGCCCGGACCTGTCGAAGGGCATTTCCTCAATCCGACGTTTAGTCTCCTCCGGGAAGTTACAATTTCTTAGCCAGGCGTGTCTCCAGAGTGAAACGGCACTGACCAAGACCCTCGAGTCTGTGTCCACATGGTGCCTGGCTGTGGACAACTGCTGCAGCAACCTGCATTGCCTCCTTGATGAGGACCTTGGCCAGGTTGCCCTGGTGGTCCGGGAGGGTCGAGGTGACGTTGTGGAGGCATTGCATTATGAAGTATTGATACCTCGCCAACGTCGACTCGTAGTTGGAGATACGCGGCCCCAGGCCTGAGGCAGTGTAGACTCGCCTGGCCAGGGAGTCGATCTTTCGTCCCTCCTTATCCCTTGGCGCAGTGTGATCTCTTGCCTCTCTGCCCTGGGAGGGCTCCACCACGACCGAGTTCGGCTTGGGGTGGCGGAGGAGGAAGGGAATGTCCTCCTCTCAAACCCGGTACATGGATTTGTACCTCCGAGAAGTGGGTTGAAGGTGAGAGGGCAAGTCCCAGGGCTGCGTCATCGCCTGTTGTAAGGTGGTGATCAATGGCAGGACGATCAATGTGGACTGTTCCCCACGGACGACGTCATAAAACTTGTCCGTAGTAGGTCCCGGACGCTGGACAGCATCGATGTCGAGGGACTGGACAAGCCGGGACATCAGCTCTGCGAAGGAGACATGCGATTCATCCGGTGACGCAGGGCCCTGGGAGGTCACAGTGACGTCGGGAGGTTGAATCAACCTCCGAATCGTTGGAGTCAGCACCATAATAAGGGGGGGGGGGCGATGATGAGGACTCCGCTGGAGAGAAGGACCGGCTACTTCCATCCTGAGGAGGTATCGGGGATGCGCGCCTCGGGCCTGAGAACTGCGGTCGGTCGCGGGAAAGTGGCGAAGACCAACCCCTAGGAGCGGGATAGTATCCGACGGAGAGCGGATCGCCCCAGGTCTGATAGTATGAGCAATGCCATCCCTCAGAGCGCTGCTCCATTGAGAGACTCCTCCGGCTCCTAGACGGGGACATCTCTACATCTGCCTCCAGAGTGGCTGTGGGCATGGGTGTGGGCGACCTAGCCCTAGGGGGGGAATCCTGAATTTCCCCATCAGAAATTGAGCCTCGTTGTAGAGTTGGCAGTGGCCCAGCAGGAAGGTCAGCCACAGGGCGAGAGGACCCTTGAGGGGTAACCCTCACAGCCGCCTGAAGCACTGGGTTGGGTGGAGTCGGTATGGTAAGTGCCGCTGGTACCGAGGGGGCCGTCGAATCCGAGTCTCAGTGTTGAGGATGCTCCGGATCCTTCAATTTTTTTGGAGGTTTAGGAGCCTTCTCCTTCCTGGCCTTCTTATGGCCTGCCAATTTGTTGGGTTCAGCATGCTTGCGCTTCTCATGCTTTTTCTTGGGAGAAGCAGGTGGAACCACCATGGCAGACGCACCTTCGTCCGAAGGGCGTGAAGATGGAGCCACTGAAGCACAGCCAGACTTCGGAGCAGCAATGAGCGGGTCGGACTGCATGAGAGCCCGGTCCCACAAGAACCTCCGCAGGCAACTCTCACGGTTTTTCCTGGCCTGCTTAGAGAAGGCCAGGCAGTGAGAGCATTTATCAGTTCTATGCCCCTCCTGCAAGCAGAGGAGGCATAGGTCATGCGGGTTGGTCAGAGACATTTTAGACCCGCACTCCGCGCATTTGCGGAAAGCCGCTCGCTGTGCCATCACAAGAAAGAGAAAAAAGGCGATAGTACAGAGGGTAAGTATATATATATATTTTTGATAGAAGAACAAAGAGAAGGTAGAACGATAGAAAACTACAAGAACTAGAACTAGAAGAAATACCGGGGCTATAACAACTGGGAGAGAACAATCGAGAAGAACAACAAGCTAGACGAGCAATGGTCAGAGCGAGAGTGAAAGCGGCACAAGGCACAGCGAATGGCGGTCGCAAAGACTGAACAAAATGGCGGATGATCCGCTCTTTATAGGCTATGGGGGAGGGGGAGGGGGAGCAGAGCTTTCCCACCAAAAACCATTAGTTTGCAATCTTCCGGCCAAAGGCACTGCGCAGGCGCAACAGCCATATGTGTGATGCACAAAGGCCACGACAAAGAACATACATTACAAAATTTAAACAAAGTCATGAGACACAAATAGAAGTTTAAGTTAAGAGAGCTAAAAACAAACAATTGAAACAATAGAAAATGACGTGCAAAATAGAGGCCATCTTAGTCTGCCTGGCAAGGGTAAGATAAGTGAAAACATTTTCAGAACTATTGGGCAATTGTAAAGGTTGCTCAAAATCTCAAATAGAAGGCAGCATTCCCAAAATATTCAGAATTAACAATGCAGAATTTTAAAGCCCACCAGCACATTAACTTGGTCTTGAAACAAAAACGGAGGCCTGGCACTTAGATTTTTCCATCAAAAGATGTATCCTTCACCCAAGAATTATTTGGGTTTAGGGAAGAATGGTAAAATTCCATTTCTTATCAGAGTATTTTCTAAGCTCTACTACCTCTGCATATGGGAAAAAATATTCACAAGAAACAAGTAAAAATAAAACTTGACTTGAACTTGCCAGTTTACCACAGTATAGAATAGGAGTGATAAATAGTTATATGTTTTACAAAATCCATGTTCTGATGGGAGGAAAGAACACTTTTGCCACCACTTACATTGAACCAATGAAGGCTACATCAAACCAGAAAGCCAACCCATGGACTAGACCTGAATGCAGCATATGGAATTTGAATGGGATTTCTATCCTGGAGAACAAGAAAAGATATAAGCCACACAAAGTCATATTCTCCCATGCAGTCACTCCTTTACATGTTCTATGGCTAAAGGTCTAAAACAGTCCCAGTATAGAAGGCGGATGCAAGAACCTATGAGAACTGTGCCTATACTGAACTTCATTTTGGGAACCTTCTACAGTTGAGGAAGTTTTGACAGAAAACCTCTCCCAGCACCCTAGCATGCATATCTGTAGCATGTTCCTGCTTATTCTCTCAGACCTCTGTACAGAGCCTTGATAATAAGGGAATGGAATGGTATCCTCTGCAGTTCGGAATTCTATGTAAATGCCAGTGTTGCATCAGAGCCAATACAGAATACGTTAAGAACAGCACCAGAGCAGGGCTGGTGGCATGAATGCACAGATGACCACTACAGGACAACCACTTGAAGAACTCACCTATGCCAGAAGAGCAATCTGACTTGCCTCAAGGAGGATTGGTATTAATATGACTTTAGCAAAATGGAAGATAGTATTGCCCTTCCCCAAAAGCAGTCAGACCTTGACTGAATAGCCATTTTGTAGTGCTGAACAAAGAAAGATGGTGTCAAACACACTGCTGGTAATAGGATGCCTCAAATAATAGCTGCAGAAGTTGCCACTGTTCTAAATGAATGGGCATGCAGTGGAGAGTTGATCTTGAGCCCAGCCAACAGGTAAGCTAATTGTACAGTTCTGACCACCCAGAAGACAAACTCATAACAGGGACAGGTAAGCCCTTTTTGGTTTACCCATAACAAATAAAGAGCCTTGGTGATTGTTGGAACAGTTCAGTCCATGATTTGTAGAATGTCGATGACCTCCAAATGTCAAACATCTGGAACACTGATTTCAAAGGCAATCCTGGAGATGGAAAAAAGTTGGCAACACAATACCTTGGTTGAAACCATTCTTAGAAGGAAGGCAGTAACAGGGTGAAGACCTTATCCCAAATGAAAGACTATCTAAGGGGCATCAAAGTACCAAGTTCACTGAATCACTGACCTGAGTATTTATTTCATTTTTATAATGCCCAATAGCCAAGGCTCTCTGGGCAGTTAACAAAAGTTAAATTAAACTAACATTTAAAAGACACAAACACACATTGATTTACAAGAATAAAACCATAATAGCAATTGCCTGATTCAGCACAGAAACATAGCAGCAGTACAGAATAAAATGGATACATGAAAACCAAAGTTAAAATGTTAGATTATTCAAATACTGGAAAATAAGGAGGTCTTCATCTGGCAGCAAAAATAATACAAAGTAGGCACCAGGTGCACTTCTTTGGAAAGGTCATTCCAAAACCAGAGTGCCATAACTGCTATCTACCTGGTAGCCACCTGCCTTACTTCCCGTGGAAGGAGCTCCTTGAAGACAAATGTTTTTGCTATAAGAAATGCCAGTTTTTAAGTAAGGAGGCAAAGATCAAAAATTGTCAAGGGCTGAACAGTTTTACCATCAAGCACTATGGTACCTGAGCACACCTGAGAGACTCCACTATGTTACGAATGGTTTCACAGGGAGTACTAAATTCATAACTCCTTTAAGGAATTGCTTCATCAATGGGTCAGGGTAGACTGAGATTCCTCCTATACTTCTCCTATTAGCAGCAATACCTGCTACAGAGATGTGTAAAACCTCCTTGAGAGAGAGAACAGATACTGGAAGATTTGGGGAAACAAGTCAGTAGCAGTCAAACAAGTCAATAGCAAAACATGTCAAGTTCATGCACAGCTGCAAAAATAAAAAAACCTCTTCCAATTTAAAGTACATGAAGTCATAACAGCCAGTTTGCATGCTGTATCTATTAATAGCCTGTATGTTCTACAATAAGTTGGTCAAAGCAGAGTTCAGAAGAATCTCCAAGTCTTCAGTCTGAGAGCATGCAGGGTTGGACAGCAAAGCTCCCACAATTCTGAGTAAGCAGACAAATGTAGCTGCATCAAGCCCAAAAAATGACTTGAGCAAGCCAAGTTTGTTGAGGGACCACAGTTAGCTTTTCCTAACTGATTTTTGCCAGTACTCATAAGAAGCAGTGCAAACAGGTAGAAGAGGCTGTGCATCCAACTCAAAGGGGAAGTCACTGACCCACCCCCACTATGCTGCAGTAGTATCAGCAAGCCTTATTCCACTGAGTTACATAAAGGTTCACGGAAGGCATTTCCCATTGATAGAATATGGAAAGCCTCACTTTTGGATTGACTTTCCACTCATAAGAAGTGTGAGTCAAAAGATCCACTAGGGTGTTTTCCTTTCCCACAATACCCAGAGTATTCTAAAACTTTTAAGAAGACATTGATTCCAAATTTAATATCTTTATTCAATAGTATATTGGAAGGAGGTGAGATGCATGCCCCTTGGAAATACCCTTCAATAGTTTTTATTCCAAAATCCAATAAAAATTTGACAGAACCTGGAGCTTAAAGACCTATATCCTTGATTAATCAAGTTGCAAAAAGTTTTACAGTGGGAATCTGAAGATAGTTACCCATGCACTGGTAAATTCCAGAGCATATTATTGTAATGCACTCTATGTGGGGCTGCCTTTGAAGACGGTCTAGCAATTGCAACTGGTGCAGAATCGTGCTGCTCGGTTGGTAACCGGTACTGCTAGAGCAGCCCATATAGCACCAGTTCCGAAAGAACCTCACTGGTTACCAGTTGTGGCCCAGGCCCAATTTAAGGTGCCTGTATTGACATATAAAGCCCTAAGCAGCTTGGGGCCTGGCTATCTAAAGGACCATCTGCACCCATATATACCTACCCGCTCCCTTAGATCAGCTCAGGAGGCCCTTCTATGAGAACCACTCCTCAGGGAGATGAGAGGGGTGGCAACTGGATGAAGGGTCTTTTCTGCTGCTGCTCCCCATCTTTGGGACTCCCTCCCTAGGGAAATTTGCCTGGTGCCATCTCTATTTTTCTTTCGTCATCAGGCAAAGGCGTATCTTTTTAGGAAATTTTCTAACATTTAGCTGGCATGCTGTGGCCCTTTTAATGGCTTTAATAGATGCTTAATACATTATGTTTTAATTGGTTTTAATGTGTTTTACTCTGTTAATATGTTTTATGCATTGCAAGCTGCCTAGGAAGGCCTCAGCAATAATAGGTGGCCTATATATAGGCACAAATAAATTAACAAATTTTAAATAGATTGGCTTACCATGGTTTGGTAGAATAGCAGCATTCAAGAAAGCAAAATGGCTGTCTGAGGAGGCTTTACAAATAGCTGAGGAAAGAAGCAAAAGGCAAGGGAGAAAGAGAAAGATACACCCAACTGAATGCAGAATTCCAGAGAATAGCTAGAAGAGATAAGAATGCCTTCTTAAATGAACAGTGCAAAGAAAGAGAAGAAAACAATAGAATAGGGAGGATCAGAGATCTCTTCAAGAAAATTGGAGATATGAAGGAAACATTTCATGCAAAGATGGGCATGATAAAGGACCAAAATGGCGGGGGGGGGGGACCTAACAAAGGCAGAAGAGATTAAGAAGACTCTGCAAGGTTACACAGAAAAACTATAAAAGAAAGAGCTTAACGTCCCTGATAACCACAATGGGGTGGTCACTGACCTCGAGCCAGACATCCTGGAATGTGAAGTCAAATGGGCCTTAGGAAGTCTGAACAACAACAAAGCTAGTGGAGGTGACAGCATTCCAGCTGAACTATTCAAAATCTTAAAAGATGATGCAGTAAAAGTGCTACACTCAATATGCCAGTAAATTTGGAAAACTCAACAGTGGCCACAGGATTGGAAAAGGTCAGTTTACATTCCCATCCCAAAGAAGGGCAATGCCAAAGAATGTTCGAACTACCGCACCATTGCACTCATTTCACAGGCTAACAAAGTTATGCTCAAAATCCTACAAGCTAGGCTCCAGCAATATGTGGACTGAGAACTACCAGAAGTACAGGCAGGATTTCGAAGAGGGAGAGGAACTAGAGATCAAACTGCCAGCATATGCAGGATCATGGAGAAAGCTAGGGAGTTCCAGAAAAACATCTACTTCTGCTTCATTGACTATGCTAAAGCCTTTGATTGTGTGGATCACAACAAACTGTGGCAAGTTCTTAAAGAGATGGGAGTACCAGACCATCTTATTTGTCTCTTGAGAAATCTATATGCGGGTCAAGAAGCAACAGTGAGAACAGGACATGGAACCACTGATTGGTTCAAAATTGAGAAAGGAGTTCGGCAAGGCTGTATACTGTCACCCTGCCTATTCAATTTATATGCAGAGCACATCATGAGAAAGTCAGAGCTAGATGAATCACCAGTTGGAATTAAAATTACCAGAAGGAATATCAACAACCTCAGATATGCAGGTGATACCACTCTAATGGCAGACAGTGAAGAGGAACTAAAGAGCCTCTTGACACGGGTGAAAGAGGAGAGTGCAAAAGTTGGCTTGAAACTCAACATTAAGAAAACTAAGATCATGGCATTCTGTCCTCTCACTTCCTGGCAAATAGATGGGAAAGAAATGGAGGTAGTGACAGATTTTATTTTCCTGGGCTCCAAGATCACAACAGATGGGGACTGCTGCCAAGAAATTAAAAGACGTTTGCTCCTGGGGAGGAGAGCTATGGCAAATCTATACAGCATATGAAAAAGCAGAGACATCACCCTGCCAACAAAAGTGCATACAGTCAAGGCTATGGTTTTCCCAGTTGCAATGTATGGCTGTGAAAGCTGGACTATAAGGAAGGCTGCGCACCGAAGAACTGAGTCCTCTGAATTGTGGTGCTGGAGGAGACTCCTGTGAGTCCCTTGGACTGCAAGGTGATCAAACCGGTCAGTCCTAGAGGAGATCAACCCTCAGTGCTCTTTAGAAGGCCAGATCCTGAAGATGAAACTCAAATACTTTGGCCACCTAATGAGAAGGAAGGACTCCCTGGAGAAGAGCCTAATGCTGGGAACAATAGATGGCAAAAGAAGAAGGGGACAACAGACGATGAGGTGGATAGATGGAGTCACTGAAGCAGTTG